TTATTCATTCACTCATCCATTTGCATGAAAGCTCCTTGAGAATAAGTTTGATGATATTTTCAGCCTCATGAACAGTGTGGGACCCAAGAGAATCCTATGTGGTGAAGAAGCCAATGGTTTCCACAGCACACTAGTTTACAGGAATCAATACCCAAATTTATAAGCTGCTAATGATCACTGTCAACAACCTGAGAATGCTATGCTATCTCCCTAAAATTAACTTATTTTTCTCTTAAGTTGTATGTGAAAGAGAGAGAGTTTGAGATTCCATCTGTTGGTTCACTGCCAAAATGCCTGTGATAGCCTAGCTAAGCCAGGTCAAAATCAGGAGTCAAGAATTCCATCCAGGTCTTCCATGAGAATGGCAGGGGGGCCAACTACTTAGGTTACTTTCCATCGCTTACACAGGTGTATAAGCATGGAAAGGGATTGGAAGCAGAGTAGTTGGAATTCAAACTGGTGCTATATGGTATACTGCAGATGGCAGTTTGACCTGAAGTGCCACATTGACAGCCTCTCCCAGGTGATTTTTTAAATTGTTTATCTTCTTTTAAAAAAAATTTACTGGGAGTCCTTATATCTATACCTTGACCCTACTGGTCTCTGCTTGGACTGCTGTCTTAAGGTTTTATCCACCTGGAAAATTTTCCTAGTTATTCTTTAAGAATTCATTTAACTAATGGCTATTCTGGGAAACATTAATATTCTTTCAACCTTTTCAAATGAGCTGAAAACTCATCAAATCATACATTTGTGCACCCATTTCACTGGATCTTAATTAGGTGACAAGAATGGAAACATGAAGCTGTGGATCAACTCCTATGCAGCTCATTGTCTGGTAAGGAAGGCGGCCATATAAACAAACAACCACGACGTAATAATATCCAATGCAAATTCAAGAAGATGTATTAAACAGCTGACATATTATTTTGATAAATGCTTTATTAAACATTACCTATGATCATGTTAATAGGTGTTCTGAATTGAACACAGACCATGAAACTCTAAAACTGTTACACTCTCAGATTTTTCTGGGAAAAAAAAGTCTCTAAGGACTTCTTACTGCATATGCTATAGTCTGAGACAGAAAATGTGTCAAACCAACCCTACTTCTGTAGTTACAAGCAACTAGAACAAGGCTCAGCACCTCAGACAAAGAAAACACTCAAGTTGAACTTGAGGCAGATCAAAATCAATTTCAACTTGGCTTAAAATTCTGTCAAAATGGGGATAACTCCATTTTAGAAGATAACAGAGCAACCTACTCAGATACTCTCGGCAAACAGAAATGTCACATGAATAAAGCCAAACAGCCAGCTGTCCAATGCTTAGATCCTATCCTGCATACTGCATGTTAATCTTCTATAAGGTTCTGGAAGCATTGGAGCTATGAGAAAATACAGCCACTGAGATGATTCCCCATCACCAAAGGCACTGTATGTGTGCCTCTTCCTTGCAACTCATAGGATCTAACATCATACCACCATGTTTGAAATTAAGAAATAAGCTGAAAAGTCCAAGAGCTTGACTGAAGTTATTCAATTGGCAGGCGGTAGAGCCAGAATTGAAAGGCCAGATGAGTATAACTCGTCTGTACCATTTTGCCAGTTACATGGATGAGTGGCCTCAAAATCAACAAATGACAGGTGGAGGTTGTCAAGGTCAATGTAGAGAAACTCAAACCGAAGAGTTAATGCACAAGGGAACACAATGTTCTGAAAATATGCTTGGGAATGTGATACAGGAAAGGGCACGCCAGGTTTACCTTGTCAATTCAATTTATAATTCCAACCCGGACCTCTCTCCTGAGCAGACTTGGCAGTCTTTCTTTCTTTTTTTTTTTCTGGCTATTAAAAAAGTATTCTTTTTTTTTTTTCTTAACAATGGAGGCATCAACATTAACATCCATCATATATATAACAGCTAAGTACAATCTTAACATCAAAGTTTCTATGCAGTTACATCTTGTTTAGCATTAACAGTCATAAATTGATAAAGTTTTTTGGGGGAAGAAAATTAAGCCACAATTTAAACTTTGCAGCATATAGTGATTAAGCATGGTTTTACAGAACCTTGCATTTAACAACTGAAGAATAGAAAAGTTTTAGGCAGGTGAGCAGGGAAATCCCCAACAACTCAGTGAGTGAGGAAGAATTTAACTCTACATCCTACCTAGTAAAGTCTAGGAGAAACAAATAGGGAGCCTGGCCAGTAAGTACAGGCTGAGTGATTATAGGCTAGTTGGCCATTTCCCTGGCTGTTTCAGACTTTCTAAATCTATGTCTATGTCTCTCTCTGTCTCTCTGAAAAGCCACATGGGAAGCCTGATCAGTAAGGTACACGCTGCATGATTATCAACTAACTGATCTTTATTAGTATCTGTCTATCTGAACTAATTTTGGGGCTCACAAGCAACCCTGATGGTCGGTGTAAGAAAGGCCTGGGAGCCAAGGCTAGAACTAGATAAGAATCAGAGAAAGCTCCTCTCCTGAGTCCAAAAGGAGATTTAAAACCCTTTTATCTCTGAGTACCACCCAGGGCTCCTGGCTGTAGTTCTGATGTCACCAGACCCTGTGAGAGGGTTTGGGGCTGCTACCATCCTGTGTGGGAAATCCAACAGGAAATGAGTGACCTCAGAGTTCTCAGCCTCTGAGGGCATTCATATTCCCTGTGATCTCCTAGGCAGATGGAATATGGTTCTCGGTGTCCTTACTTGGCAGTCTTTCTTTCTCACATATAAGTCAAACCTCTGGATATTCACAACAGCCTGAAGTAGAATAGGACTATAGTAAAAGATTAAAAATATTTGTTGAATGAATCTTTGAACATGTTATCAAAGAAGTTAAAGATACATTTTACAGAAGATACGTGTTGGAAGTAACCATGAAATGGATTCCAGATTCTCTCATTTGCAGAACTCATACTGGTAAATTTGCCTACTCACTAAAACGCGTAACCCCAACATTAACACTTGTGGAGATTGAGGCATCACTCACGAACATGTACACAGAGATTTATAAAAAATTATTCTTTGCACATGTTCCAAAGTCAGGTGGAATGAGACAATGCTCCAATTGTCATAGGAAACACCTGAGGCCAGGGACAGCAGAGGGTGGTGCAATGCAGTGTAAAAAGCCCTGGCTCTGGGGCCAGCCCAACTTGATGCCTAGCTCTAGCAGTGCCTAGAGGAGCAGCCTTAGGCCCATGACTTAACACTTCTGAACTCCATCTTCTCTGGTAAAATAGAAAATGCATGAGCTACCAGGACAAACTGTTTTTGAGATTCAAGATTATAATCAACATACGCAGGTGCATACATGTACACATGTTCTGCTTTCCCTAGCAGCAATAGTTTAGTATTGATAATTAGGCATTCTAGGTAACTTTACCAGCCATACTACTGTGAATAATGAAGAACACTTATAATTATTTATAATGAAATAATTGAAAAAGGAAAATATAATAATCATTTGAATGAGGTAGAGACAGACTTCATAAAGATTCTAAAGAAACAACTTCATCCAGAATGTAAGGTCATGGAAAAGACTTTCGAGGGAGAGTGAGGCACCTATGGAGAGCCTCCCAGAGGTATGGGGAAAAACAGATTCAGGAAGCAGCAGTGGGCAGGGCACCAGCAGGTGGAGACGAGGCCCCAGACCACAGGGCCACGGTGTTTCTCTGTGTGTTGCTCACATGCCAAATTGCAGAACATGTCTCTGCATTTAATTCTTGGTTTATAGGTCAAGATCTTTAGAGAAAGAAATCCCAGCTATAATCCTCTAAATCTGTAAATGGGTAATTACTAAGCATAAATACACCTGAAGAGACTGTACTAAAATTGGTTTTCAATCACAGCCTTAAACTTATTTCCAGTCGGAACAATTCCAGACTTGCAATCTGTCCACGACTTTTCCTTGATGACTGTTCAAAGTCTGTCATAAATCCTTTTGATTGTTCTAGATACCTGGACATTTGCTGGGACAGATCTCCGTTCTTGTTTAGTGTGATTCATTAGTAAGGCTCAAACATATGGCTCATCACACAGTGTTGCCACCTCAGAGTATACATTCCTTCGGATACACTCTAACAGACTTAGATACAATATAGATACAATACAATCACAGTCAAATACAGGGAGACACAGTGAGATATATGTTACAAAGAGGATAAAGAAAGCAGTAAGACTTTTTCATAAGTTTGCAAAATCCTGGCCCAAACACAAAGAGTTAAATTCACAGCTTACATCTCTCCTTTGGTAACTAGGAATAATAATTCAGGTTTACATCAAGTCAGAAAATTAAGCACTTATAAGACTTTACAAGGTTTTGCATGCATATATATTCCTCCCCACCCCCACTGCCTGAGAAGGCTTTCAGTCTTCCTTCAACACTTCCATTCCCTCCAATCTCCAAAGCACAACCCTCATGGTCTACTACCTAATGTTTTCAAACCTCTCAAACCTCAAAAGTTAAGAGCAGTAAGCTAGTTATCCTCATAAAATCCTTGGCATAAATTTTATTTAGGCACAACCTGCTTGGGGCCTATTATCTAGAAACATATGGCATGAACCAATACTACAGGAAAGCAAACCAACACATTCACACTAGGCAGGTGCATAAAAATTCCCCATGAAAAGAGAAAAGGAAAAGCGTCTTTCAACAGATTCAGGACTGCCATTACTCACTCACAGGCTGTGAGCTGTATAGCCATAGTACCTCTTACCTCTTAGGAGAGACTAGCCAGCCAAGCCGGCCCTTACCTGGCTTCTCGGCCTCAGCTTCCTAAGCCAAGCTGTGTAAAGTTCAATCCAATCCCATCTACTTAACAACAACAACAATCAAACATTTTAAATCCCTCATTGCCAGTAAAGTCTTTTCACCTGTTTTTTTCTTTGTTCCCAGCAACTACCACCCAAAGAACCGTCCGGGGACACAGGTTCGAGATAGCGAGCAAGCCGACCACAAGCTACCCCCATACAACACAAGTGAAGAGTTCCCAACCTTGTACAGCTCCCAGGTCAGGGTATCCGGCCGGACTCTCTCCAGTTCTCCTGCGCCCCTCGCGTTCACCTTTGGGCTACAGGGAAGAGGAAGGTGGAAAATGTTAGTCTCTGAGAAGTGAGGGATGAGGTTCAGCAGGTGGGAGAGGGTGCGGGATTCAGACGCGGCAGGCCAGGCAGAAGAAAGGTGCCCAAGGTCCCCCAGTCGGCTCAGCTCTGCGGATGCACGGGGAGGTGGTGAGAGACCAAGACACGCAGATCACGCGCGAGCGGGGGAGGGGCCGCACGCACCACTCCTCCCGGAGCCTCGGGGCGGGAATGGGGATGCAACCTAACTGTGCTGCACCCGGGGCCGTCAGGACACGCACAGCCCGAAGACCCGGTCCCAGCGTTGCGGGAGGCTGAGGTGAGGCGGGAAGGAACCCAGAAACTTAGATGAAGAGGGGCAGTTACCTATGCGGGGGGGACCCGGACTAAGGTCTCCTAAGGTCCGCGAGAGGCAGGTCACCCCAGCGGATACCCCCTTGTCGCCGAGGAACGACGTGGAGCCGCCCAGGATTTCCCTCCTGACAGGTTAGGCAGGCAGGCAGGCAGACAGGCGCCCGACGCCCCCAGCGCGGCCGAAAGGGAGGCGCTGGGTGCTCCACCGGGCTGTGAGAGCGGCGGCTCCCGCAGGACCCTTCCTCCGCGGCCCCAACCCACCTGGACTGACCACAGGTTCCTCTTTCAGATCGTCGGCTGCCACTCCTCCAAGAGCCCTCTTCGTCGCTGCCCGCCGCAGAGGTCGCCGGCGCCCGCACAGTGTCGGCCTCTCGCACCCAAACGTGAACCACAGCTCGGGACAACCGCCAGAAGCACTCGCCTGGGTGCCTCTTAATGCACCTTACCCCGCCCCCGGACCCAAGCCATTGGTTGCCGGGCACCGCCCCATCCATTTATTGGGCCAAAAAGGATGCCGCTCAGGCGGCTGCGAGGACATTTGTGGTTTCTATTGGTCTCAATGCTATGCAGCGCCCGCCCACTCCCTTGGAAGCTCCAGAGTCAGATTGGTTTTGACGTCTGTCTTTCAGCTCCCTCAGGATGGAACGCCTCCTTGCGGGGAGCCTCGTCTCTGACTGGCTGACAGGACGCGACGCAGTTTCTGGCTGTGCACTGGGCGACTGGCGTCGGGCCCACGTGGGGGAACCCTCGCCGCTGGGTTTGTTTACACAGCCGCTCACTCTGCCCCGTCCATTGGATGAGCTGGAAGTCATGCCCACCGGGGTCGGCCACCCAGGTTATCCCTGAGGAGGGCGGAGGTGCCGGCGTCCCAGGATTTCCCCAAGCTGGGAGCTAAGCTTGCCTGAACTTGTAGCTAAACCGGGTTGTCAAAACCAGCGCGGGGCGCCTAGATCGGTCGCGGAAAATGAACAAGTGGCGCTTCCTTGGAAGGGAACAGAGGGACGCCTCCACAGTTCTATAAACAAAATTCACTTTCTTGGGCGCATCACAACATGAAAACCGTACCACCGTACCCAAGATCTTTGTCTCTCCTCTAAATCTGCCTTTCCAATAAAAATAACTTTAAAAAAACGAATACAACAACTGTATAGGATCATTTTTTCAATAAAGAGAATTAAACAGATTAAATAGTAGATTAAATATACAGTAACATAGTAGTAAGCAGTTACAGAGATTATTCATTCAAAAAATATTGAAAAAAAATTTGAGCATACAGTATGGTATCCCAGGCTGTGGTCCAGGCTCTGGGCATATGCAATGAGAAGGACAGTGAAGCATCCATGGGGCTTGTTCTTTGGTAGGAGAGACTCAAGGAAGGGTGATTAGTAAATAATAAAGCATCATGTTGTTACTGAGGCCTACTGAGAAAAAGAAAATAGAGCTATTGAATGATTTGGGGCGTGGGTATTTTAATTAGAATGGGTAGTGTAAGAGCTGTCTGAGGGCAGCATTGAACACAGAAGAACAAAAAGAGAGCAGGTGCTAAGCAGGGCACTGCACACCTCCTCTGTCCACACTGCTTCCCGCTTTGGGGCATTCGTTATTAGGTATACATCCCTTAAGATTTGCCCATTGTCTTAGCTGCAGCATCAGCTGGCAGAAGCTGGCACTGGGGGCTAATTCTGTCAAGTCAAACCACAGAACCACCTGGAGAGGGCATAATCCAGGAGTGAGAGAGAGACCTGGGAGGGAAATAGTGGGCTCCTCCCTCTTGGGTTACCACTACCACGGGAGGGCACGAAAACTAGGACAGGGGCTGGGGTGGCTAGACAGAGAGGCACTCAACAACATCTGTGAGGGCTGGATAGTTGAGCTGGTTAGATGGAACTAAGCTTCAATACCCATTGACATGTACAAGAGCCAAACGGGATGTGGGACAAACTGGACTAGTCTGCTACACATACTGGCAAACCAGGGTAGGGGGTGGGCCTGGTGGGGGTTATCATGGGTCGCTCCAACCTAGGCTGCAGCTCCCACTGGTTTATGCGAGGGCTGAGTATGTGCTGGGCAGAACCAGGCTGGACTGCAACACCCATTGATTCCAGTGGAAGTCGGGGCTGAAAACAGAACCAACCCAGCAATTGCAACCACCAGCTGATTGGGGCAATGGACTGTGCTGGGCCCTGTACCCACTAGTACATACAAGAATCTGGTCTGAGAACACCTCAGACAGAGTTTCTTTGGGGATCTCCCCAATCGAACTGCCGGTCTCAGAACCCTAACCAATAAAACACAGAAGACAGAACGAGTCAATCAACCACCTCAGTTATATGTGGGCAGTGAAATACTGGACAAATGGAGACTCTATGATGGACTGTGTCAATCAGTGGATTCTTCAGTGACCTCATCGTACTTGGAGTGGCAAGACTGGCAGCGATTCATAACTGGTGAACTATCAAAACCACTTGAGCAAGACCCTTGGAGCGTGCCCCACATCCAGGACCTGGGGTGGGTGAGAAACTGGGTGGGGCTTCTCCCTCAATCTCCCCCTTTACCTCAGATACATGAAGGAAACAATATGGAAATAATAGTCTTACCCACTTTCCTAAAGCCCTTGAACCTTTTTACCCTAATTAACTATGTAAAGATTGTCAAAAATATAATACAAAATTAAAAAAAAAAAAAGAATTGCCTATTGTGTTTTACAGCTTTACTTTCTTACAGGCATCCCTCAAATTCCAAAGGGGATTAATTCTGGAACAACTCTGGGATACTAAACTCCTGAGATGCTCCAGTCTCTTGAGTCAGTCCTCTGTGTTGGGGCCAACTGCATACATAATTACCACCTGGACTGTTTAAAGTATACATACAGTTCAGTAACATTACATCCACATTGTTATGCAATCATCTCCACAACCCATCTTCATTATCCCTAACTGTAATGAATCTAAGAAACAGCAGTATGAGGGCCATTATTATGCCCATTATGCAAACAGACAGAGAAAAATCATTCAGCTATGAAGTGGAGATGCATTGTGTTCCCACAAAGAGGAAATAGACTTGGATATTTACAGGAAGAAGAGGAGGAATGACATATTTCCAAGCAGCTCAGAACATGTCATTAGAGCAGCAGGATGGGCAGTCACTGGAGGGGACAGTCAGAGGCACAATCTGGAGTTTTCAGGAACACACCAGGATTTACAAGGTACTAACTCTGCAAAGGAAGAGTCACTGGCTTTTCTTAATAATGTGTCCATCAAATACATTTTTAAAAATACAGTTAGATTATCTATTACACAAGCCTCCATTCAAGCTAAAGCATTTACAAAGCAGTAGGGAGCAATGGAAGACCATGGAAGTTTGCAGAGGAAACAGGTTACATACAAGCTTCAACCTGGAAAACAAGTTGAGGCCTATAAAGTGAGAAAAAAGGAGTTTATGTGAGCCCGGCTGAGGCTGGCACTCCAGCAAACAGCATTCTGTTTGCCCAGGCTAGGTGCTCCAAAGTAGCATCCAAGCTATTTGAATAAACAAACAGGAAGGGGAGAAGCAGGTGGGGGTTACCACAAAGTGCTCATCATAACTACAAGTTAACAAAACAAAGGTGATTGTCACATCATGTGATGTATTTTGGCAGAAACCGCAGTAAGGAGATCATGTGCTTTCCTTGAGTTATTGAAGGGAATGCATGTTTATTTACTGTCCAAAGATTAACCAATACTTTAGGATCTTGTGTGACTAAGTTATCCTGTTTCATTTTTCCCCTAGGCTAGTGATTTTTGGTAAGCCTGACTCTTACCTGATTTTAAATTCCTTTTTCAAAACAGGAATCAGAAGAAAATGGGACTTCCCCCGGAGAACCCAAGAAGACTATGGAAACCAATGGAATAATACCTTCAAAATCCTAAGGGGTAATTGTTTCTACACTTGAAATCTATATCCAGCCATACTGTCCATTAAGTATAAGTGTGGAATAGACAGTGTCCAAATGGGAAGGTCTTGGCAAAATATTACCTTTCAGGGCCCCTTATCAGGAGCTCCTAAAGATGTGCATTGTGAGGTTGTGTATATTTTGGAATTTTTGTGTGTGTGTAGAAAGATGTTTAACATTTTAAACACTTGGCTCAGGAGAAATTGTCCCAGCAACCAGCAAATTCCTAGAGATTGCCAAGGGCTCAGTTGGGAGCAGGCCTTCACTATGCAAAGTAACCAACCAAGTGCCATACTTTGTCCCTGTGCCCTGCAGGAGACCCTGTTTTGTCATCACAGGGTCAGGGACCCAGTGACTAGAGGCCATCTCCATAGCCCCCATCTGGGAAGGAAATTCAAAATAAAAATGAAGCAAAACATGGTGTAGCAGGCTTAGGGAACAGCCTGCCTGCAAGGAAGAGGAGAATTTGGAACTTCAGAATTGATGTCCTCCCAGGAAGAATGGAACTGCCAACATCTACAAAAAGATACTTCAAAACGTTCATGGAAAATAAAAATTAAATACAACCTAATCTTGGCTAAATTTTTATAAAATTCATGTATCATTTTTCAATAAAGCACTTTCCATGAGTTTAAAAATAATTTTTAAAATTTTTATTTGAAAGTCAGATATACAGAGAGGAGGAGGGACAGAGAGGAAGATCTTCCGTCTACTGATTCATTCCCCAAACAGCCACAACAGCCAGAGCTGTACTGATCCCAAGCCAGGAGCCAGGAGCCTCCTCCAGGTCTCCTACGCAGATGCAGAGTCCCAAGGCCTTGAGCCATCCTCGATTGCCCTCCCAGGACACAAGCAGGGAGTTGGATGGGAAGCAGGGCAGCCAGGATTCGAACCGGTGCCCATGTGGGATCCCAGCATGTGCAAGGTAAGGACTTTAGTCACCAGGCTACTGCACTGGGCCTGAATTTTTTTGTTTGTTTGTTTTTTAAGTTTTATTTATTTGAAAGAGTTACAGAGAGAAAGGAAGACAGATCTTCCGTTTGCTGGTTCACTCCCCAGATGGCTGCAATGGCCAGGCCTGGGTCGAGTGAAAGCCAGGAGCTTCACCTGGGTCTCCCACATGGGTCTCCCACACGGGTGGCAGAGGCTCAAGCACTCTGGCCATCTTGTGCTGTTTCCTCGGCATTCCCATCTTACACAGGCCACCCTCAGGCCTTGGCTGGTAGCCCTTTCCCCCAGTTTCAAGTCAGCAGCGCCATATCCCATCTCCCTCTGACTTCTGTTGTCATCCTTACACCTCTCTCTTAGTCTTCCTCCTATAAGAATCCTTGTGATTATGATAGATCTCCCCAGCAACGCAGGTCAGTCACTCTGCCAGGACACTTGACCTACTCACATCTACAAAATCCTGTTACCACATAAGAGAATCAGAGCATGCACGGCTTTGAGAGGATAA